TGTACTTTGATTACTATACTGCATATGTTGTGATACTTGACATGACGTCATCCACCCCAGAACATTTCCGCCGTTCCAGTTTTGGGGTGTGACACTTTGAGACTTAAAGATTGGATCTTGGTTGGTTCGACCATTCTAATGGATAAAGTTGGAAACTTTATCCGTTATGGAGTTATTAGGAATCGTAAAAGTAGAATCTTGATGTGTTATGTTGGACCATGCATGAGTTAAGGGTCTTATTATGGGTTTAAATCGTCAAAAACAAGTATTGGACATTAGGACATGCCAAGGAGTAAAGTTTCCAACTTTATGTGTTAAGACATTATTTAGTATCAGATCTAAAAAGTGGACTTAGTGGCTTAACCAATTAAGCACTTAATGGTGAGATTGGGCTGTTATGGAGTACGCTTAGTGTACCCAGCGCATACGCAGTGCGTACTGGCCAAAGGTGGCGTTCACCGGGCGTCCGTCTGAGTACACTAGGCGTAATCAACAGTTGTTGACTTTTCGTTGACTTTTGTGAGTTGGGCCATACTTTGACTATTAGGGTTTTGGGCCTTTTTGGGCCACTAGCCTTTCTGACTTTCGACCAAGTGAAGGAAGGGTAAAATGTTCTTTTACCCTTGGTATTGGAAAAATGAGCTCGATTCCCGATTATGGTTTATGGCCTAATTATTAATTGAGGTTGTAATTGATTGGTTAGCGTAGGGATTCTCCGGTTCAACAACCCTAACATCTATTTGACTGACAGCAGAATAGGTGAGTCTCCTCCCAGTGTTTAGTGGGTCGAAGGAACCAATGTCGGCCCATGATTTATTATGATTAATATGCTAGTTGTATGTGTGACTCTTGCATGTGTATAATGATTAGCATCTATTTGACTGTCACTAGTGTTTAGTGGGTCGAAGGCACCGGGCGGGGCGTGATGAATGTACCAGGCGGGGCCTGATGAATGTATCGGGTGGAGCCCTGGGCGAGACCTGATGTATGTATGTTTGCATGATATGTATGGTATGTGGTATTTTGGGGAACTCACTAAGTTTTGTGCTTATAGATTATGTTTAAAATGTTTTCAGGTACTTCTGGTTCGAATGGAAAGGGCCTGACATGACTGCACCGCATCCACCCATGTTTCCGCATTTTGTGATTTTGGGATTGTACTCTGATAATTATTTTACTCTAATATAATTTTTAATGTTAAATCGATTAAAGATGTTTATGGTTGAGTTAAAAATGAAAATTTTACCTTATAATTATTGGGTCGTTACAATATTTGTGTATTTTTATATACTTTAAATGTATAATCGTATTATTTTTTATGTTTTTATGTATTTTTACTTCAAGTTGTCTTCACTATTTCATCTAATTCCTATAGCCTCTTCGAGTATGTCTAGATCATTTTGTTACATACCCACATATTTAAAGATTTTCCCATTCGCATATCTTGAAATTAAAACTTGAATTAAAAAACAAATAATAATTTATGCCTTCAGGCATAACACGACCGTCTTAGGGATGTTGAAATTAGAGAAAAATTTATTGATCGTGAACAAACTATATATCCATTACAAATTCTGAATTTATCGAAAGGAATTTAAGTATGTAATAGCATTTCTAAGGTTCTTTACCTAATACAAAGGTTGTAAAACAACATCGGTGGACTAAGATTAAAGTACTAATGGGTTAGGCGTGGATTAATCGGAGGATTACTCAAATACCATTAATTATTACGAATAGTAATCAAAAAAATAATAAATATAAGTTTAAACCAAAGAATATAAATATACAATAATGCTTTTCCTTATACAAAATATGCAACAATGTTTTTAAATAAGGTTGAATTAAACAATGAGTTAATATGAAATCGTTAAATGTTTGATGTTCCATTAGCTTTTAGATTTAAAGTCATGTAATGATGTAAGGAATAAAAATTTTCCAGCACACACATCTTCATCTTCTCCACATGAGACTTGGGGGCTCCTTGCGGACAAATGAGACTGGTGAATTGCTGTATCTACATATATTATTATTTTCTGTTTTAATTTGATGTTTAATTTCAATATAATCGAATGAGAAAAGCTTAAAATATGTTGGTATATAGGAAAACTATTATGACGTACTCGATGAAGCTGCAAGAATTTGATAAAATGGTGAAGATGACTTGAAGTAAAAAGTATAATTAATACATAAAAATAATACGGTTCTACATTTAAAATACATAAATATCTACATAACAAACTTTAAAAAATACATAAATACGTAAAAATATAGATAAATACATAATACATAAAAAAACAGTTAAAAATACATAAAAAAAATATGTAAAATACTTAAAAGTACACAAATACGTTTATACATTTAAAATAAATAAACATCTATATAAAAAATATATAAAATACACAAATACGTAAAACTAAATATAAATATGTAATACATAAAGAATAATATATAAAACTACATAAGAAATATGTAAAATACCTAAACATACATATAAATACTTAAAAAATATGTTTATACATTAAAAATATGTAAACATATATATATATATATATATATATATATATATATATATATATAATACGTAAAAATATACGTTTATACATTATATATAAATTTTGACGAAATCTACAGACCAATCTTATTATTTTGGAAAAAATAACAATTTAGTCTCATGACCTACTGAACAAGTTAAAAAAGAGTAAAGTAAATAAATTAGCCGGTTTCTTGAGCTTTACTATTCAAAAGGATAAATAGTCGGACCTTTATGTTAAAAAAACAATTTAGGAATTTATTAAAGATTTTCCAAAATATTGGGATTTTTCTAAAGATTTTCATAAATTAACAAACAAAAATTCAAATAACCCCAAATTTATTATATAGTATCCAACTCATATGCAGAAACTGCATATGAAAATAAGCATAAAAAAATTAAGAAATAATTATATGAAAACGTAGATAAACTCCAAAGTTTAAAAAAGTCGGTATCATAAAAAAGACGTTTTATAAAGTTTAAAGTTGAAAGGGTCAAAATATATTTTTTAGAATTACAGTGGCTAGTGGTATTATAGAAAAAACAAATTATATATATATATATATATATATATATATATATATATATATATATATATATATTAGAATTGCAGTGGCCAGTGGTGATTATAATATATATATATATATATATATATATATATATATATATATATATATATATATATATATATATATATATATTATTGAAAATGAATATTTTAATTTATAAAATTAAAGAATTAAAAGTGATATATTATAAAGTAGTTGTTTAGGTAAAAAATTACTTTACAAAATAAAGAGACTAAAAATATAATTTGACAATTTAAAGCATAATAAGATAATAGCAATATAAACTTAATTGGCATAAGAACTTAAATTGCCAAAACAAAATTAAATTGCCTAAAACCAAAGTTGGTGCCCACAGACTTTGGTTTAATTAGAATATCGTTAATTAATGATACTTCAAATTCCATCCACGATGTCAACCCTTCTTCCCCTTTGACACGTATACGCTGATAGGAAGGGCTTCTAGATAAGAGTTATTTATATAACTACCATAGTTTTTGTTTTGGAAACGGGAAAACCATTATATAAATAACAAGACCGGACAAAAGCAAGAAGCTCATGAGAGGGGAAAGAGTGCAAAATAGAGAAAGAAGACAATTATAAAAGTTTGACAATTAAAAAAAACTAAGAGCAAGAGAAAGGATAACAATTCCATTCCGCCTACCTATCCACACATTCCCCCAGTATTTATGTTGCATTTCAACGAACACTATTATGTACATGGTCTTAACGTGTGTAATTAAAAAGTGATCAATATTAATTAATTACAACGGTTTTTTGGTTTTTTTAAATGGAAAATCTAATGTACTCTAAAATTAAAATTTTAATTTCATCATAAACCATAACATGATTTGAACCTTCGACCTCAAAAAAAAAAAAAAACATTTATGCCGTTCACCACTAAGTGACAACTATACCCGATTTGATCAATAATTTTGTACCAAGACCAAAATTAAGTGACCATTTAATATATGATGAATCTGAAGAATGTTGTTAGTAATTGATAATAAAACATAACAAAACATGGATCGAATAAAGCTCATGCTTGCACATCATGTCAAATATGTTGTTTTAGATCGTTTTCAAAAATGACTTGAAGTAGTAATGAACTTTTAATTTTGTTAGCATTTAGTCAAATATGCCATGTTAGATTGTTTCTAAACCTATGTTATAAGTATATTAAACCACAACACTCGTTGTTTTTTCAAATTCTATGTGATTAAATTTGTTTCTACTGTACTTCTAAGTCTAATTTCTACTACTTTAGACAATTAAGGTATATCACACCATTAATACAACCATCTTACTTTCTTATCCTTCATATTCAGTTTGTGTTCATTCTTAATAATATTTAGATTAATTTACATATTAATGGCTTGAAAAGGTTAGAAACTTTCAATTTTATTTACATTTAGTCATTAAACTTTTTTTTTTCATTTTGATTTACACCTAAATTATTTGAAATTGTTTACATTTTACTCTTATGATCCGAATTGATGATAATGATAAAATGCGAACAATTTCAATTAATTTAGAAGTAAATCAAAAAATCCAATAACTAAATATCAACAAAATTAAAAATTAGTTACCCTCACAAGTCATCATCGCTTCTAAATTTCATCTCTATCTCATGGGAATATTTGTTAAAACTAAAAATGTATTCTGCTATTTCACTATAAAAATATTTTTCATCTCACATAAACTCTGAAAAAAAAAACCTATATGATTGTAATTCTTACTGTTTCTAACCATGCCGGCTTATAAACTTAAATAATCATTAAATAAAATTTAGATGGTCGGCAAGGGTTGTGTATAAAGCAAGACATATTTGCTATAACGTGTACCTTGGTACACGTGAATCTGTAACTCAGTACTCTTGCTGCTCGACAATGTCAATGGGCCAGATGCACGTTCTAATTACTTTCTTTTCTACCAACATATTGTATCTTACTTTTTCACCCTTTGCTACCTCGGTTTACTTCAAAATCTCAAGTAGTTTTGGTTCTAACAATAACGAAATCCTATATAGAGGAAGTGCAGTGCCTTCTTCTGGAGCTGTACAGTTTACCGATGTGAATTATGTGTGCCAAGTAGGCCAAGCCATCTACGGCGATAGAGTTCAAATGTGGGATTCCAGCTCAGGGAAAGTCTCAGATTTCTCTACCCGTTTCTCCTTCACCATTGACACCGACGATCAACCCACCTCCAACTATGGAGACGGGTTTGCATTCTTTCTTGGCCCCGCGGATTTCCAAATCCCACCCAACTCTGCTGGTTCCTTTCTTGGTCTCTATAACTTATCTAATTACAGAGAGTCATCCCAAAATCACATGATCCATGTCGAGTTCGACAGTTTTGTTGACACTGATTGGGATCCTTTATATGAACATGTTGGCATAAACAAGAATTCCATCTTTTCAGCTAACACCACCGCTTGGAGTGCTGGCAACCACAGCGGAGATGTTGCTGAGGTTACAATCTCTTATAGTGCTCAAACAATGATGATGATAGTATCTTGGACTTACAATGCTCAAACCCCTTCGGAAACTTCAAGCGTTTCCTATCATGTTGACCTTAAGGAGGTTCTGACTGAATGGGTGATCGTAGGCTTTTCCGCTGGCACCGGCATCCTTGTAGAGAAAAATACGCTTTTATACTGGGAGTTCAATTCAAGCTTAAATGGTAAATGGCGAAGCCCCGAAGAGAGATCCGGTATATCAGGAGACTTAGTTCCTGGTGCCATAGGTCTCATTATTGGTATGGTCATAGCCATGATTATTGGCATAGTGATCTTCATGATTTTCAAGAAGGGTTGGATAATAGGTAATGGACGAAGCACCAATGAAGCCACACAAGAGGAAATTAAACTGATCGCAATACCCAGTAGTGCTAATAAAGAAAGTGAAACAACGCCTTCACCACTGGAATATTCTTACTCTGATCTCCAATTGGCAACAAACGACTTCTCCGAAGACAACAAGTTGGGTGAAGGAGGTTTTGGCGGTGTTTACAAGGCACGTCTTCCAATTTCAGTCCACCAGGAGGTTGCTGTGAAGAAGATATCAGAACGTTCTACACAAGGACAAAACGAGTACGCAGCTGAGGTGGCGACCATAGGCAAACTGAAACACCCTAATTTGGTGGAACTTGTAGGTTGGTGCGAAGAGGAAGGTAAGTTCTTGCTTATATACAAAATAATGCCAAATGGTAGTCTTGATTCTTACCTCTTTAGCAATAAAGGCCCTCTTGGTTGGTCCAATCGATATAAAATAGCTAAGGGTTTGGCATCTGCATTACATCACCTGCATGAGGAGCAAGGTGAAAAATATGTTCTTCATAGAGATATCAAACCAAGCAATGTGATGCTGGATTCAGAGTTTAATCCGAAGCTTGGAGATTTTGGTTTAGCTCGACTTAAGAACAGCAATGAGCAAATCTCAAAAACTACTAAAGTGGCTGGAACCTTGGGATACTTCGCACCTGAGTATGTTACTTCACGTAAAGCTAGCAAGGCAACAGATATGTATAGCTTCGGTGTCACTGTATTGGAAATTGGGAGTGGGAGAAGTGTGGAGAACCAAATCTCGGACATGGACTTGGTAGAATGGGTTACGCATTTATACCGAGAGAAGCAACTTCTTTTAACAGTTGATGAGAGGCTATCGCATGACGTTAATGAGAAACAATACAATTGTTTGATGACTGTAGGGTTGTCATGTACACACCCTGATCCAAGTAAACGATTAACCATTGCAGAAGTAATTCGAGCATTAAAAAATGTTACTCCGCCTGAAGTCCCCGAAAATATGCCTACTCCCCGATTATATGACACACCCACTAATCATGCATCTACTTCAAAAACAAAGTCATAACCGAACTTTACGTTTCTAAACTTTTTCCCTTATCTCTTTAACGCCTGGTGCCATCTCCAAAAATAAGTCTAGGGGTCATATCATATATCCAGTATTGAGTGGTTCTTAATTAGTTCTCATTTCTAATATACGTTGTTATAATGTTTATATTAATTTTCATTAACATTTTTTGTACAATGTTTAAGGGATATTTCTTTAGCAAGTTACAATGTGAATTCTAATTAAAACAATGCTTTTTACAATATACATGACAAACTAGACAAATGTCCTAGCATTGAGTGGTTCTTAATTAGTTCTTGTTTTTAATACTTTGTTATAATGTTCGTTAATTTTCATTAACATTTTTGGGAAAATGACATAAATGCCCTACAAAATTTTTATGGTTTACCCATTAAATTCCTAAAGTTTTTGTCGGCCTTCATAGATCCTTAAACTATGATAGGATCTGCTCTTTTAGTCTCTGTCAACCTATAATAGTCGGTTCAGTGACCTTTTAGATCAAACAAATACTCACATTATGCCCTTATAAAACTAAAAAATAAGTTCGTGGATCAATTCGTATAAAAAAACTCTCCTTCCTTTCTTCTAAATAATTAACTAGTAATAATATATTTTTCATAAACACTCGATCATAGCATATTAAGAAGATGAGTGTCGACTATGTTTCATATATTGCATGTTATATTTATCTAATAAGACGTACATTCTTTAATAAGAAAATGCATCAAATTAAATCGAGATTCTTGGTCATCTAATGTTTAATAATCAACCGAAAAAGAAAACTAAAACAACGGCCAACTTGTAAATATAGTATGGATGATTTTTATTTAATTATGCTAAAAGGTAATTAAGAATAAACTATTTTATAAAAGAACAAACGTTGAAATTACTTTCTATTCGTCACACATATTCTCATAACTCATGAACCTTTTCAATAAATAAATTAATAAGATGTACCATGGCAGAATTTATCATCTATTAAAAGCAGAAGCTAAATCTAGTTATAAAGACAAATAAACAGAAAATGAAAATGACTCAACGATATTCTTTGCTGTGTGGCAACTTCTGCTTGCTTTTCTTGCTTTCAGCTCCTTTGTTAATTACAATATTATCCACATTAATAACGAAGGATCCGAAGGAAGCTCCATATGTCTCTTCTTCCATGCCCCCAAGAATATCAAAGCTATTTATGTTAACGGACTAACCACAAGCTTCTTGAAATGATACCTTTTTGTACCCAACAAGAAGATCACGAACCCCGTAACAATCACCAAAGCCACGATCCCATACCCCCACCGACGACCAAGATTGTCCTGGATATAAAAAAGAACAGTAACCGCCCCAAGTGACCCGATAGTACTTATAAAGAAGAACCAGCTAAAGAAACCAACCATTTGCACTACAAGAAAATCACTCTTTGGCGGCGACGTTATTACCGGCGACAGAGGCCTTTAGCGGCGACTCTAGAGAGTGTCGCCGCTAAAAGCCCCTATCGCCGGTAATAGCGTCGCCGCTAAAGGGTGATCATCCGAATCCGTGTCTTTCCCTTCCGTTACATCTACACCGTTCGATCAAATACCCAATCCAACGGTTAGGGCACCCTTATCCGAACTAACCTAATACTGGTGACATATGTGTCGCCGCTAAAGTGTAACGTTCCAAAAATACGGGCCAAAAATTTCATTTTTAAAACATATACTTAGCAAAACGTTAGAAATAAAACATTCACCGATCATATCATTTAATAAAAGATGTCGCGTGTCTGAAAACCAGTTTATAAAACATAATAATGTCAGAGTACAAATCTCATAGTGCGGAATACAAGGCGTGTATGTGATGTGCCGTTACCGCGCCAACTCCTTCCCCTTCGAAGAAGAGGTACCTAAAACCAAAACTGAAAACTGTAAGCACGAAGCTTAGTGAGTTCCCCCATCATACCACATACCATACAATCACATATCATACATACTGCCGGACAATTCTGGGGTGCCCGACCGACCCGGTACGGCCATTCTGGGGTACCGACCTACCCATGTCAAGCCGTTCTGGGGTGCTGACTACCCATGTCAAGTCATTCTGGGGTGCTGACTACCCATCGCTCCTAACAACCGATCCTCGCGGACTATTTCACCCCCTACTACTACTATCACATATATCATAACATAACATATTATCAGACATATATGGGGTGTCTGATCTACCCTTTGGTCCTAATGACCGAACTTGGGGACTATTCCCCTCCTACTACCACTATCACATATAACATATCATGCCAGCATATAAACATATCATCGCATACTGTCAGACATATCTGGGGTGTCTGACCTACCCTTCGGTCCTAACAACCGAACTCTACTACTATCACATATACATATCATGCCAGCATATAAACATATCAGGTAGTAGCAAACCTAGATGATATCACAAAGGCAATCATCTATTCATACAACTCCTACTGGTGGGCCGGCATTGTGGCCATAGACCCACCGCTACTGGAAGGTAACTCACCTCAAAGTAGTTGCTGATCTGCGTGGAAACTGACTGTCTTCTTCTGCTGCTGCCCCGGAAATCCTCCGGCTATAATTCCCACAAAACACTTAGTCAAATACTGCTAATCAACCTCAGGGTAAAATGACCATTTACCCCTAACCAAACCAAGAGTCAAATTCAAAGTCAACTTCCAGTTGACCCGACTCGCCGAGTTGGCTCGCCAACTCGTCGAGTCCCTATCCATTCGATTGACCATAATCCCGTCTCTACTCGTCGAGTTAGGCATTGACTCGACGAGTTTTCCTTCTAAACCGATGTCTAATAGTCCTTCATCCTACTCGCCGATTTGTATGAACAACTCGTCGAGTTCATCTTCATCCGAAGAACATTCTATGCTGAGACTCGTCGAGTTGTATGAACAACTCGCCGAGTTTGTTCTTGAGGCAAGAAGATTTCCTTGAACTCGCCGAGTCAGGGCATTGACTCGCCGAGTTCCTTCATGAGTGAGTCTGGCTTCCGACCCACTGAGTCACACCCCATGACTCACTACTCCACCCAGCAAACACGAAATGGGGGAAAACTCGGGGACTCGCGACACGACTCGTCGAGTCCGATGAACGACTCGCCGAGTCTTTCACATGCAAATACTATATACTCCGATTTTGCTAGAATCCAGCTCATGCCATACATAGATCTGGGTTCTTAGGGCTTGATTAACACGTAAAGTTTCCAACTTTACGTGTAAATAAACACCAATGAATGTTTTAGGTCTCAAAATGCACTAAAAGAGTAGATCTAGGTCTTTTATGCAATATGGCTTCATAAAGGAAGTGGAATTGAGCTCCTGGAGCTCAATCATGCCTAGATCTAAAGGTTAATCAGCTTATTACAAACCCTAAATCATACCCAAGCTTGGAAATGGCTCAAGAAGGACTTTAATGGAGCTCTAAGGGACTATAAGCATGAAAACAGGGGGAAACTGAGTTATACCTCAAGGAAATCTCTGAAATAACACCAAGATGTCTGGTCTCCTTCCTCTCCTCTTGATCTACTCTCCTTTCTCTCTCAAAGTCTTCAAGAAATCACACCAAGCACTTCAATCTCACAAGGAATGATGTTAGAACGATATAGGGGGCTCTGAGGGTGAAGGGGGCGAGCTTGGGGTGCATAAGGTTGGTTTAAATAGGGTGCAAACCCTTGGAATTAGGGTTTTACCAGACAGCGGGGACTCACCGAGTCCAGAATATGGACTCGCCGAGTCGCCAACTTAAACGTGTTTCATATCTCGTCTCTACTCGGCGAGTCGGACTTATAACTCGCCGAGTCCAAGGCTAAAAATGCAAAATACTTAGATAAGTTTTACATACCAGGAACCATGTGCTACAAATCTCTCCCACTTATTTTAGACTTCGTCCTCGAAGTCTGCTGCTCGATCCTAAAACAGCTCGGGGTAATGCTCCATCATTTCTTCCACTGTCTCCCAAGTCCACTCTGAACCCTTTCAGGGCTGCCATTGCACCTTCACTAATTCCACCCTCTTGTTCCTCAAATCCTTTAACTTCCGGTCGAGGATTGCAACTGGGCGCTCAATGTAATTCAGGTTGTTATCAACATGTATATCCTCTAACGGCACCACCGTTGAATCATCCACTAGGCACTTCCGCAGCTGGGAGACATGGAAGGTGTTGTGGATCTGACTGACCTCGGCTGGTAGGTCCAGCCTGTATGCCACCTTGCCCACCCGGGCTACAACCCTGAACGGACCAATGTATCTTGGGCCCAACTTGCCACGCTTCATGAATCGAATGACGCCCTTCCAAGGCGACACCTTCAGGAGAACCATATCCCCTACCTGAAACTCCATGTCTGATCGGCGCTTGTCGGCGTAACTTTTCTGCCGACTCTGCGGAGTCTGAAGCCTGCTTCGAACCTGTTGGATTCTCTCGGTCGTCTTGAGCACCACCTCTATGCTCCTCATGACCCTCTGGCCAACTTCACCCCAACATATCGGGGTCCTGCACCTCCGTCCGTATAACATCTCGAATGGGGGACGGTCAATACTCGCGTGGTAGCTGTTGTTGTACGAGAACTCAGCCAAGGGAAGATAGGTATCCCAGCTACCACCGAAGTCTAGCACGCATACCCGCAACATATCCTCCAAAGTCTGGATGGTCCGCTCGCTCTAACCATCCGTCTGCGGGTGAAAGGCGGTGCTAAAATGCAGACGAGTGCCCAACTCATCATGAAACTTCTTCTAAAACCTGGAAGTGAACCACATCTCAGTCTGATATCACTAACACTGGCACCCCATGCCGCGCCACTATCTCCTTGATATAGATATCGGCCAACTTTTCGGGCGAGATACTCTCCTGGATCGGAATAAAATGGGTGCTTTTGGTCAATCGATTCACGATGACCCAAATCGTATCTACTCCTCGCGCAGTCCGGGGAAGCTTTGTGATAAATTCCATCGTAATATCTTCCCATTTTCACAACGGGATATCCAATGA